TGGTGTTGGGATGTCAAGCTCCAATGACATCTGGTCGCCATTAACACGTGCGACCTGAACCCTTGCATAGTCCGCCGGAATTGGGCTGTTATGGAACTGTCTCCCCGGTATCGCCAATCCAGACGCAACCTCCTTTGTTTTTCCCGCTCTCCCTATCGGAACGACAAGGCTGCATGGTGTCGGACCAGTTATACTATCTATCGGGTAGGTTGTATTTTCTACCGACCCGACAGAGCTTGGGATCTGTGTCGACTGCGAACCATGAGGAACCAGGTCAGGGAAGGCTTGAGGATGTTGTGCGGCAAGACTGTAGAATTGTTGGGTGACTTGTTGTATGACTTGATCTGTGATTTCCTGGCGCATCTTGGCCTTGTAGGCGTCGCGCTTCTTGTAACTTTGGGCTTCCTGTGGAAACCCTACGTTCCAATTCATCCTGCACGACTTTCCTCTGACCCTACCGGAGTGTTCTGCAGTTCCCAAAGCTTCAGTCAGCTCATCATGCTGCTGTCGAGGGACGAACTCACCGGTCTTCCTTCTGGACGATTTGTTGGAGAGACGTGGTCACGTTCTGGATGTCCGGACAGTCCAACAGCATCTCACCCTCTTCTGTCACTTGCCCCGAAGTTCTTGCCCACACCCAATTTCTAGTTTGCTTATTTAGGGGCTGCACAATCAAAGGTTTGTCTTCGGCCGCAAACTTTTCTTCCGTAGTTTGCCATTTCTTCTCGTGACCGGCGTATCCACTTGACCCTAACCCGTGTGGATATATGTTCTTCTTCGCCAGGTCCGACATCTTCTTCCTCCTTTCTAGAGCTTGAGGAGTTGTCATCTTGGCCACGAACTTGTCCCACTCAGCTGCTAAAATGGTGCCCAATTCTTCAAATGGAGTCTTATTCTTCTGAACATAATTGGTGTTCATGTCCGACTTTCACTGTCACCACCGATGGGCAATTGTTTGCAGTGCAAATTTCCGGCCAAGTGCCTCCGACCCAGGCGGATAAATAAGGTGCTCCTGCAGACCTTCCCACATTAAGTTCTTGATGTGAATGCTAACGTGCTTCCATTTGTCCACGTTGAGAGGCCCATGAAGCTTTGCCAGCGCACCGCATGAGGTGCTAAACTTCGCCCTTACATGTTGCGGCTCGACGGGTTTGCCGTCATCGTCGAGAGCAAGAATGTAGTACGTCTCCTTCGACATGAGGTTCCTGCCCTTCTCGCCACGTTTTTTTCTTTGGACAAGCTCCCCCGCTCGTCGTCGTGTCCGTTCGCGGTGGTCCCGAGGTCGCTGTGTCTGAATCAGGTTCAACCCTGATGGCACTTCATTTTGACTGACGACGGGTAGCCATCTACACGGTTAAGTCATTAGACCGCAACGACGGGGAAAGTTTAATTCCAAATATATATTTCGACAGGATTCAGTTATTACCGCCTGCTCGATAGGAATATAATCCGGGTCATCCTCAGGTCTTTCATACTGCAATTGCGCTAGTTCTAGCTCAAATGGGTCGCTCAGTGTGCGCCACGATTCCTCGCTCGACTCCGGTACCTTCCCGACATCTTTTTCGTGTTGGGGATTGTTAGTGACATCGGTTCTGTGCCCGACGGAGCTGTCCTGCCCGTCAGGTTTATTGACCGTTGGTTCTGTGCCCGCCAGAGCTGTCTTGCCCGACATCTTCGACGCGCATTCTTACAATGGAACAATTTAAAACTCAATTTAATATTCGTTCAAATCCACCAAACTATAATAACCACTAAACTAAACTATCATATTTACAGCAAAGTAATAACATGTTTTGATCACATGGCTAGCTCGTGTGTTCAAAGATAAACCTCTAACTCCTAGCTGAGTCGTCCTCCTGGACGGACCTGGAGCATCGACTTCCTTAAGGCAGTTCGTTCCAACCCTAACAAGGTTCCACTTCCTACTTTCATCCAAGACACTCTTGGAACAATGCAGGCGGTGGAACCTTGTATGGGTTTGAAAGAACAACCTTAAGGAATGTTGAGCTCCTGGTCCATCCACGAGGCCGACGCATGTACGAATCAGAGGTCTATCTTTCAACAGATGTGCTAGCACATTTTACGGATGACCAACGCATGTCATATGTTCACGAAATGTTCTGTTTTTCCGATTTGTACTAGTCGGTTCCATCCAGGAACTAAACCGACTAGTAAAACTTGGCAACCAGAACACTTCGTATTATAGCGGCATGATAACGTACGAACTACACCTCCTATATCTAATTTTACGAGATTGGTAAGGAAAGCAAGATCGGTAAGGAACGTAAGATGGGTAATGATTTCAAGATTGGTAAGGATATTCATCACTATGCACACCATGAAAGCATATGGCCTCAGTTTTGCTCAGAAATTATTCATCATTTACCACAAGTGTAGATGGTCTGTTCTTATGTGCAAAAAAAAAACAAGTGAAGTGCCCCCCAAAAGAATTCACAAGTGTAGTTGTTCTGTTATCAAACAAAAAAAAAACAAGTGCAGACCCCCCCCCCCCCAAAAAAAAAAATTCACAAGTGTAGTTGTTCTGTTCTTGAGCATAAATAAACAAGTGAAATGCCCCCAAAAAAAATTCACAAGTGTAGTTGTTCTGTTCTTGAGCATAAATAAACAAGTGAAGTGCCCCAAAAAAAATTCACAAGTGTAGTTGTTCTGTTCTTGAGCATAAATAAACAAGTGAAGTGCCCCCAAAAAAAATTCACAAGATGATCTGTTCTTGAGCATTCATCATTGGCCATTTATCACCAACATAAAACAGCCCACATATATCAGCCACAAGTATAAAATAGCCCACATATCACCCACATATAAATCAGACCACATATATCACCCACAACAATCACCCACATGTATCAACCACAGTGAGGCATAAAACAGCCCCAAATATACAGTACATACAAGTGTAAATAGCAAAAATAAACAGCACACAGTGACATAAAACAGCCATCTATCCCATATAGACATATATCTATTTATCACAGAGAGCACAAGTCCTATCTATCACAAAAATCATCATCATCTCAAATATCATCTATCTATCACAAACAACCATCTATCTATCACAAATGTCATCATCATCTCAAATATCATCTATCTATCAGAAACAACCATCTATCTATCACAAATATCATCATCATCTCAAATATCATCTATCTATCACAAATAGCCATCTATCTATCACAAATATCATCATCATCTCAACATCACAAATCAACATATCATTCATCCATTCAAAAATTTCATTCAACATTGCATCTACTGCATGCATCATCCACTACATCATTCATCCATTCCACTGCATCATTCCATCCATTACCACTGCATCATCCAAAAAAGGAGGGGCGGCGAAGAGAGGGGTACCTGGATCGAGGAGGCTTGGGGAGGAGGTAGGAGGCGGCCGGCGGATTTGTGGCGAGGTGGCCGGCCGTGGCTTGGCGGCGAGGTGGCCGGCGGCTGCTTGGGGAGGACGACGGCGCCGGCTTAGGGAGGACGATTGCGGCGTCCTTGGTCGCAGAGGCCAGCGGCTTGACGGTGCTCTTGACGCCGAGGGGGGGAGGTCGGGGAGGCCGGCGGCTTGACGGTGCTCTTGACGCCGGCATTGGTCTTGACGGCGTGGAGAAGAGGCCGGCGGCGGTCCGGATCTCGCTAGCGGTGGAGGAGGCAGTGGCGGCGTCGGCGCCGGAGGAGGCAGTGGCAGCGTCGGTGGAGACCGGGGAGGAGGCGTCGGCGACGGAGGCCGGTCGGTGTGGACGAGAGAAGACGGCGGCGGCACGGGCGAGGTGGAGAAGAGGCGGCGAAAAGGGGCGAGGTGGAGAAGAGGCGACGGCGGCGAGGGCGAGGTGGAGCTCGGGGAAGAAGGCGGCGAGGGCGCGGTGGAGAAGAGGCAGTGGTGGCGAGGGCGAGGTGGAGCTCGGGGAAGAAGGCGGCAAGGGCGAGGTGGAGAGGAGGCGCGCGGCCCAGATCTGGGGCTGCCGGCGGAGGGGCGAGTTGGTCGGCGGCGCAGATTCGAGGGGGAGGAGGAGAGGAGGGGCAGCGGATGGATGGGGAGGAGGAGAGGAGGCGGCGGTGAGGGGGAGGAGAAGAGGAGGTTAGGCGGCGGCGGCCTGGATCTGGCCGGCGGCGACCGGAGACGATGAGGAAAGGCGGCGGGGCTGTGGGGTTTTGGGCGGCGGTGGAGGAGGTCAGCGGTGTCGGTGGAGGGAGGAGGAGAAGAGGCGGCAGCGTGGGGGGAGGAGAAGAGGAGGAGAGGAGGCGGCGGAGGCGGGAGGATCGGTTTTGGCGGCGTCGGTGGCAGGAGAAATTTTGGCAGCCTGGCGGCGTCGGTGAAATTTTCGCCGGGACTTAGAAAATTTCGCCTAGCCGCCCACCCCTTATAGCGGCACATCGCGTGTGGGTGACCTAGGCTTATCCCATGCGGGCGGCTTAAGTGGCCCGCACGGGAAGAAAAAATACACAATTTTTTTTAAAAAAAAACCATGGGATTGTATCGGTTATTATAATTCAGGGTTTAGGGTTTATTATATTAATTATATTTCATTTTAATTCATATAGCAAAATTAAATACCTATTAGTTAATAAGTCCTTTTTTTAAAAAAAATCATAATTTTCATGGGATTGTATATTATGTTTGCTATAGCAAAATGCAATATAGTTAATTATTTTTTATATTCCCATCTAAATTATAGTTAATTAATAAGTATAATTATTAATATCATGGTAAAAAATAAATTAATAATAGTTTGGATTAATTAAACCACGAATTATTCAAAATACAAAAATAGATTAACAAAGAATTAAAACAGACATGAATTGTATTCGCATCTAATTATTCATCGATATGATTAATATGAATAAAATACTGGACCATAAAATAAATTCAAAACGACATATAGTACGGATAAACATGGATACCCCATCTCATTCGCAAAATAAGTTTCATCCAGTAATCGTTTACAAAATAGGTATTACACAGGATCGACATCTCACTAATGTTTGACAATTTTGGAAACACCATCCTTCCGCGCGGACGAAAACAAATCTTCATCAAGGCTTGTCTCAACTTCCTTGATCCGGTTAGGAAAATCTGTGAACAAAGGGACGTCGTCGTATTGGTTGTAATCTGACGCGTCTTCAATGCTATCAATGCCTACAATGTTTTGCTTTCCCGGTACAGCAATGGCCATCTTATCGTCGGAAGGGTCACTGACATAGAAAACATGAGCAACACGCTCAGCAAGAACCCACGGATTATCCTTGTGTCCTAGCTTACTACGATCCACAACCGTCAGGCCGTAGTCATCGATGAATACGTTTGTTGTGTCTCTGACCCATTGGCATCGTAGCACCAGGATCTGTATGTTAAGGCCATAGTCCAGCTCCCAAATGTCTTGTATGATCCCGTAGTAAGACTTCTTCTCACCTGATGTGTCAAACGCCTCAACCCGAACTCCGCTGTTCTGAGCTGCGCTTTTCCTGTCCTTGAACATTGTGTAAAATCTATTTCCGCTGATGTCGTACCCTTGCCATGAGATCACAAGGCTAGTTGGGCCATTTGCTAGCCTGCACAAAGTTTTTTCCTCCAGCGAAACACCCAACGGCAGATCTTTCTCCTTCAACCATTCAGGAAATTTCTGTTTCTGTTCTTTACAAATCCAAATGTCCGTTATTCTAGGGTTGCGGGCTCTTATCTCGTTCATGTGTTCCTGAATGTACGGCTCGACGATGGCGAGCTGTTGCAAAATACTGCTATGTGCTTCCGCTACATCTTTGAAGTCCTCATCGTAGAACCTTTTCTTGCCTACGATCCCCGTCCCAGCTAACCGGCCCTCGTGTAAAGGGAGGGTCACACCGATGGGTTCGGCGTCCTTCATGTAATCTATGCAGCATTCAACCACCTCCTTAGTTGTGTACCCCTCTATCATTGATCCTTCTGGATGAGCTCGGTTACGGACATACCCTTTCAGCACGGACATGTACCTCTTGTACGCCCACATCTGGTTTAGGTATAGTTGACCAATCTCGATAATCTGAGGTACGATGTGGACAATAAGATGCTCCATCATGTTGAAGTAAGCTGGGGGGAAAAACATCTCAAGCTGGCACGCTGTCTCGATTGCAAAAGATTGAAGGGGGCCTAACTCTTCAGGATCAAAATCATTCTATGATACTCGATTGAAAAAGTAGCACAACTTTGTTATCACTAACCGAGTGTGAACTGGCTTGACCGCTCTTATGGCAATTGGTAGGAAGACTGTTAACATCTTGTGACAATCATGAGCATTGTACCCAGAGATGGTCAAATCTTTCAAAGATACAAGTTTTCTGACGTTCGCTGAGAAACCGGTCGGGACTTTCACACTATGCAAGCATCTACATAAAGATTTTTTCTCGTCAGGTGTTAGTGAGTAGCAAGCCGGAGGAATTTCGATCTTCCCATTTGGCAGCTCTTTGGGGTGAAGCCCACGCCTTATGTCCAAATTGACGAGGTCGGTCCGGGACTTCAACCCATCTTTCGTCTTACTCGGGATGTCCAGTAAAGTGCCAATGGTGCTATCAAACACATTCTTCTCAAGGTGCATTACGTCGATGGCATGCCGAACCTCCAGGTATTTTCAGTAATCAAGATACCTGAAAAAAATTGAGTTCTTCTTGAAGGGCTGGTTACTTTCGTCTAAAGGTGCATCAGTTGTGTCCTGATCCGTACGTTTCTTCCTCTTGACGGGCTTCTTCTTTGGCTTGCCGAACACAACCTTAATGTTCTTTGTCAACTCGAAGATAGACCGACCTGTACGTGTTTCAGGAGCTAGAAAGTTCCCTACTGTATTGTCGAATAATCTGGCCTTCGCACGCCACCTATGCCTCTGAGGTAAGAACTGACGATGACGCATGTAAAAACCCTTGGTTAATGAGGTGAGGTACTTGTACGATGTCTTGTCGATACATATGAGGCATCCGAACTTCCCCTTAAACTGGCCCGAGAGCGAAAAGTTTGCCAGTAAGTCGTTGATCATAATGAATATGATGGCATGCAGAGTGAAATGTTCCCTACGGTACTCGTCCCACATTCGTAACCCTTCCTCCCACAGTTCTTGCATGTCCTCCATCAATGGTTCGAGAAACACATCTACGTTAATCCCAGGTTGTCTTGGACCTTGTATAAGGATAGACAAAAGAATGTACTTTCGCTTCTGGCAAATCCATGTAGGCAAGTTGTACATTGTTAGAAGAACTGGCCAGGTGCTGTGTGTGCTGCTTAGGTCACCGAACGGGTTCATTCCGTCCGTGCTCAATGCAAACTTGACATTTCTCGGGTCCTTTGCAAATTCCGGGTGTAGTGCGTCAAAGTTTTTCCACTGTCGAGCATCGGCGGGGTGTTGGATCTTACCGTCAATTTTCCTACCCTCTTGGTGCCATCTCATCAACTCGGCGTCGTCTCGGTTGGAATATAGCCGCTTCAGGCGATCTTTAACTGGCAGGTACCACATCACCATCCTAGCAATCTTTTTGTTCTCATCCACCGGTGCATCATCTTTGTCGACCACCTCTCCATCGGTGGCTCCGTTGTCCATCTTGTACCGACTCGTCCCACATGTTGGGCAAGAGTCTAAATCCGCGAATTCCTTGCGGTACAGTAGGCAATGATTTTCACATGCATGGATCTTCTGAACACCTAGAGACAATGGACATATCAATTTCTTCACTTCATATGTGTTCGTCGGTAGCAGGTTCGGCTTAGGAAGCATAACTCTCAAAAGATCCATCAAATCATTGAAGCTCGTGTCCGACCATCCATGTCTGGCCTTCAATCTGAGAAGTTCGAGCACCGAGCGTAGGACCGAATAGTCCTTGTCGCATCCTTTGGCTTCGTCGTACAGAAGCTCCTTCGCTGCTTTTTCCAACGCTTCCCAATTGTCCAACCCTCGTCTTGTACCAGTTAGGACCTCTGGTTCAAAGTGCCGCAACATATCTTCCAGATCAAAATCAATACCTTCATTCTCTATACCTGAGCCACCGTATTCCGGGATGTTTCCCTAAGACATGTCTTCAATTATAAAATTTTCTGCATTATCAAAACAGAAATCATCTAACTCTTCGTTACGACCACCGACTTCCCCATGAAAAGTCCATATCTCGTATCCTTTCTTAAATCCTCATTCTACGATGTGCGACAATACTTCATTCGGATCTTGCAGCAAGATCTCGTTCTTACATACTTTGCATGGGCAAAAAATGCTCCTCAAATTCTCCCTCGCAGCATGTGCCTTTGCGAGGTCAACAAATTTGCCTGCTTCCTTCAAGAACGTTGGATGAGCTCTTTTTGTGTTGTACATCCATGTCCGATCCATGACCTACAATAAAGCTTGCCATTAATACATCCATGTCCGATCCATGACCTACAATAAAGCTTGCCATTAATACATCCATGCCCGATTCAAACACGAATGTATTTAAATTAGAGGGAACTAAATCACGTAGTAATTTAAAGTTGAACGGACTATTTAAACAGCCCCACAGCAATTTTAAGCATTAATAGAATACTGTCTATCCATTTCTAAAAAAATGAAAATATTCGTCCTTTTTCATCCGAATGAAAATAAACTTAATAGAGGCAACCCAAAGTTTCAATGTAGGTGCTAATTACTTTTATAAACATGTAAAAGATTGCAATATGTATTTGCTAAAAAAAATAAAAAAAAAAGGTGCCTACACTATTCCATTTATAAAACTACAAGTTTCTTCGTATTCCACCAATGAAAACTGAAAAAAATAGAAGCAAATGAAGGAGGAGAACGAGCTCTACACCTTTTATATGGAACCCAATCAAAGATTTGAGGTCGAAAACCTTCCTTCTTAATTTGTGGATGTTTAGGAGAGAGAAAACGCCGGGCATGCATGGCAACGGTCGGGCTGGGGGCTTATATGCCCCCCGACCATCGCAAGTGGTCGCCTACTGTGGGCCGCACGGGATAATCTGCCCGACCCCGGCATTCGTTTGGTTCCAGGCGGAGCCACTTATGGCCCGCCTGGAACCAAAATGAGCCGCCGTCTAGCATAATCACATCTGTACTAGTGAATGGGTAGCCCCGTCCTCTAGTGGTGACGACAAGAGCGGTAACGGGCACCCAGGAGCAACCCTTGGTGAGCTCATCCAATAGGAGTTGCGATCACACTTCGGCGAACGTCGGAAATAGTTTCTGCATGGTGAAAACGGATTGCAAATGTGCAAATTTTTCATTAAAACCTCAAATAGAAGCAAGAGTGAGGGTGCATTAGCCGACAGGTTTGGCGACACATGTCCTAGATTGGCAGCCATGGACTTTAGACGGTGGCAATAGTCGGTAACGGACAAATCACCTTGGTAAAAGTTGTAGAACTCGGCTTTGGGATTAAGAGCGTGAGTTTCGCTATTGCCAAGGAACTGATGTTCAAGGCTGCACCACACAAGTCGAGCCATGGTGGTGTGCGTCATGACAGACTCCAGCAAGTTGGTGGAGATCGTGCCGTACAACTAGAAGAGGACGACGCTATCCCTGCACATCCAGTCAGAGCAATCCGGCCGATAGATGTAGGTGAGGACGTGGTCAGCGAGGGTGTACCTGTCGAGGGTGACGAGGAGAAGCCCACGCCACCTAGTGTAGTTCCCAGAGATGATGTCCAGGGTGATGGGCACGACGGCCTTGTTGTTCAGAACAGCGACTGCCTATGCATGGAGGTTGGTCGGGGTGTCATTGTCAAGGTCGACATGGTAGAAGTGCTCCGCAGTCGGGGTCATTCGTGTGGGAACCGCTGCCGCCGGGGAGGAAACTACCATGAGACGGAGGAGGCGATTGCGTGTTCCAGCCCAAGTAAGGCCAACCATGCATGGGGAGAGGCCCGGCGAACGTCTGGAACAGAGACGGTTGTGGCGGTGCAGTAGATCCACCAAGGGCAGCAGTAGGGCCACCGAAGTAACGAGCGGGGGTAAAGAGGGTTGCGAGCTCCAGTGGCATGGACAGTGAAGGTCCCGTCGTACGATCAGGTAGCATCGGCAAGGATGGAGGGACTTGAGTGGTGCCAGTGGCGATGGTGGAGGAGAGCCTAGAAGAAGTGGTGGCCACCAACGTAGACGAGATCATTGCCGGAGAAGTGGAGACAACCGTCATCAAGGCAGTTGAAGAGACCAGCGGCGAAGACATGGGTAGCAACACCTTGTCGTTGAAGGCGATGAGTACGCCTTCCTTGTGGCGTTGGAGGCCATCGTGGCCGCTGAGTCGGCAATGTTGGTGGCCGTAGACAGATTCGCGTCATAGCGGGTGGAAAGTTGGAACGCCTTGCGCATGGCGTCGGCAACGGCGATGGAGGTAGCATCGACTGCAGCCACATGGGTGAGAGAATCATTGGCCATGGCGTGGGGAAGAGAGTGGCGCGGCACGTGGCAGAGAATGGCAGACGTACGGCAGAGGAGTTAGGGTTAAGGTTTATGGCGGAAGTAGATATTGTTTGATTCCATACGGCGGAGGAGTTAGGGTTAGGGTTTATGGCGGAAGTAGATATTGTTTGATTCCATGAAAGTATATAAGAGTCAATGCGATAATTAGATTAATAACGAAATCGAGTACATATAAAGATGGTTCATCCTTATCTATCTATCTATCTATCTATTATATACTAAAAGTCCATTAAACTTCCTATAAACGCTCTCAAGCCGCTACATGGGACTCCTAAAAATGCTCGTACGCCGCCACGTGGCATTCTAATATATTAGAAACATCTAGCTCTAGATTTTCATTTAAATGGTGGGCCCATTATTTTAGACCATTAGATTGTATCACACTCTAATAAATCGATGGACCCACTACTTTTAACTATTAGATTAATCTTTAAAAAAAATCAAAACCACATAATCATCTCTCTCCTCAACCCCGTTAGCCCATATATGGCGGAAATCCTGTTCGGCAATCGATCGCCCTAGGGATGGATCATCGATCGATCCCCTCCACCCTCCCTCCCTCCACCCCTCCACCTGGTTTCCCTTTTTAGCACCGCATTACTTTCCTATTTTAGTAAATTTATACACCTAAAGTTTATACACCTCAAGTTTACACATCTAAAGTTTAGAGACCTAAAGTTTATACACCTCAAGTTTACACATCTAAAGTTTAGAGACCAAAACTTTATAAGTCAAAAGTTTATATATCCGATTCAAATTTGAATTTGAATTCAAATTTTTTTTATATATAGTATTCCTATTCATCTAAAGTTTATACACCTAAAGTTTATAAGTCAAAAGTTTATATACCCGTTTCAAATTTGAATTTGAATTATATCTTATTCAAATTTGAATTTGAATTCAAATATTTTCTATATATAGTATTTCTATACATCTAAAGTTTATACACCTAAAGTTTATAGATACAAAGTTTATATACCCGATTCAAATTTAAATTTGAATTATATCTGATTCCAATTTGAATTTGAATTCAAATATTTTCTATATATAGTATTTCTATACATCTAAAGTTTATACACCTAAAGTTTATAGACCCAAAGTTTATATACCCGATTCAAATTTGAATTTGAATTCAAATTTTTTTTATATATAGTATTTCTATACGTAAATTTTTCTAACTTTTGTTTTTTAAAAAATTTGTGTGGTGTACTGTAGTACAAAGAGAAGAAGGGGAGGAGGAAGGGGGAGAAGAGGGAGGAGTATAGGGGGAGGCGGGGCAAACCGATCGATGGGCGATCGATCACTCATTAGCGCCCCCCCCCCCCCCCATATATGGTACGGTATATATGATCCTCCACCTCTACCGGTGGCCCCAAGAGAAAAAATCAAAGAAAAAAACATGTACGTACGAAAATATGTACAAATATTCACGGGAAAAAAAGAAGATGTACGTACATATGCATCTACCATCGAAAAAACAAACGATCCATATGGCTATTTAAAACAAGGGACATCTATGTTATCTATAATAAAAGAAAAAAAATAACACCACTATTAACAATACTTTAATTAAAAATTTCACACGAAATATCATGCCTTTTCTCATCAAATAGTGGTAACAATTACTCACATACATATACAAACAACTACATCTACTTCTTCCACATGTGAACCCAATAAATATAGAGTAAATTCCATGTTTATCCCTAAAACCTCACTCAATCCCTTTTATACTTCTGAAATTTATCCGATCCCTTCTTTACTCCTGAAATTTCAACTTGATCCCTTCCATGTCTCTACCGTTACATTTTCCTTCATTTCACTATTACGATTAGTTGCAAATGTCTTTTTTGCCCTTGATGTTTTAGTTTTGAATATAAACTTGAAAAACGATTGAAAATTTTGTTTGAGTACACGGTACGTGCATTTTATGAAACTAATGAGACTAAATAATTATTGACAAATTTTGAAAATAAAATAAATGTAATAAATCAAAATATATATTTGAAATATTTAAAAAGGACAGTGGATTTTTTTTATCGGGAACATTCATAAAAAAAATTATTATGAGCATTGGTAGTCCTATCTTTGTATAATGCTCCTCATTTTTTATGACTTTTTAAAAAATAAATACATATATTTCTTATTTCATTATCTAAAAGTAAATTTTGTGATAAATAATGCATCGTACAAAAAACTCATAAATATAATAGTCTCATGTGACAAACTTTTACATTTTTAATAATGTATTCCATCCGTCCCATAATATAAGGGATTTTGAGTTTTTGCTTGCATTATTTGACCACTCGTCTTATTTAAAAAATTTTGGAATTATTATTTTTTTTGACTTACTTTATTATCCAAAGTACTTTAAGCACAACTTTTCATTTTTTATATTTGCACAAATTTTTTTAATAAGACGAGTGGTCAAACAATACAGACAAAAACTTAAAATCCCTTATATTATGGGACGGAGGGAGTAGTTCATAAATTTCTATGCTACTATTTATCATATCACAAATTTTATACTTAAAATAAGACTTGTATAAAATAAAATAGAAAATAGAAAAATATCAATAGTTAGTAAATTTAACCAATGGAGGAAAATTTTGCTTCTTACTATACACTTAAATTGAAACGACTATTGCAATAACCATTGCATAATAATTGCCTTGGATAATTAGAACAACTCTAATAGGATAGAAAAATTATCTAAGCAATGACAAAAAGAAAATTTATGAAACAAATTGTTCTTTTGAAGCATGGCATGCAGATGTTACCCACTTAATATTATGCTTCTATAAGTATCTCATATACAACTTACGATAGATGCCCATGCATTTGCTTGGACTATCTTTCTAGTTATATTAATAAAAAACGAGTACATATAAAGATGGTGCATCTTTATCTTTACAACTGACTTATAGAAAAATAAATCGGGAGATAATAAGGGAAACCGACTCATTACAAATGTGTCTCTAACACCACCGCCCGAGTGCGTCGTGGCGGAGGAAGGGGATAGAGTGTGGCGTCACGGCAGACGAAGGCAGGCAATGCGGGGCGACACGGCATAGAGGTACATTTTTACAGTCGCCGGCATGGGGGGGGGGGGGGGGGACGCAAGCGGCAGGGCTGGCGATGGGAGCAAGTGGCATGGCGGACGAAATTAAAGGGCCGACGCGGCGGCGTTGGTTGGCGGAGGAATCGGGTGTCAGAGATGTGCGTCCCATCGCCTACCTCAGGATAAAATAGGCCCTCGCTAATGATATTTACTCTGTTAAACAGCTTTTAATCTACACCACCCATGAATTTTAATATCTGTGCGTCTTTTTCTCTGAGGAGCAAAGAAGCACTACTCATGATGAATTTGAGGTTAAGAATTAATTTACACGTCGGTTAATACTATTTTCAATATATATATGCATAAATTTTTTTCTAGATTTTTTTTAACATTTGTTAATTGGTTTGCATGGTGTGTATATGCAAAACTTGTTTATACAGGATATGTTCCGTATAGTAGTCCACTGGAAATGTGATAATATAAGCTGCATGCAAATGCATGTTAGTTGACAATAAACACATAATTAACTGAGACTATACACATATATAAGGACCTCCAAATTCGAACAATATGTAGGTCAAGTTTAATCAATATTTAACTAAGCACGGAGAAGCTGCGACAAATTTAAAACACATGTACATGTGATGTGAATTCACCATCCTGCATGCATGTGAGGTCACATGCTATGTGTAAAGTCTAAACAGTCAACGGTTCAGCATCACAAATGATTTTTTTTAAGTATGTACTATGCTGCAAAATATATGTAATAATACAAGGCAAGTAGTGGAATCCTTTTAAATTATTACCAGCTTTCTTGGACCCAATTAGAATAATTTGTGCTCAATGACATGTAATTAATACGGTGATTCTCCTCTATTGCCAATAACCTGGCAGAATTAATTATCTATTTTATTTCACTATGTCAACCACTACTGAACCAAAGGATCGGATCCAAACAATAAAATTAAAAATCAATTCTCTCAACTGATACACACACAAGGAAGCATGCATTTTACCCTACTTCTTGCATTCTATAAATACCAGCGCTTCGAACACACAACCACCAAAGGCAATTAGCTAATTTGAGCTGAATTACACTGAGCTAGCTCAGGGAATAATATGGCCTATTACGCAATCGCTCCTATTCTCTGTGCCCTCGTCCAGAATGAGCTCTACATGCACCTATACATAAACCAAGTGTATGCTGGACAGAGTACTAACCAATTAGTAGTGATTACTTCAAGCCAGCCTCAAGGATTTGGTATTACTGTCATCAATGATTGGCCCATAACTGATGGGGCAAATACTGTTGGACGTGCACAAGGATTACATTTCCAGTCAGGTCAAACAAGCCAAAAGTGGTATACATCCATGAATTTAATCTTCGAGGATACGAGGTAATCGCCGATTGTATGAGAAATTCTATTGTAGTATAACAATTAATTGTATGCGATATTCTATCGACCATAGTATATAAGAATTCATATCATTTTTGTGTGTATATGTATGTATCAGGTTCAGCGGATCCAGTCTCCAGGTGATGGGTACGATTCCACAGGATGGCGAGTGGAGCATAATTGGAGGTACTGGAGAATTTGTTGCTGCACAGGGTATCGTCGAGCATAATGTAATCCAGGAAGCCGGTGGAGCTTGGACTTATGAACTTAAAATCCATGCATTCTACACTCCCATGCAATCCTCAGGGGTAAGTCTGATTAATATAATTAAGTTGCTTCCTATATCGATCGATGTATTTGTGTGTACGTAGTTTTACATGAATGCTATGATCCATGTATATTTTATTTTCAGTATATGCATTTTCTTGATCTGCATATACAAAGGAGACAATTTACTGCAATCTCATTTCTTATATACATATATGTATAGATGACTGACGCATGCAGCAGATGTGAAACTAAGCATGCACTAATTAAACTATCTATTTCTTGTTTTGCTATGCCTTGCGCAGGTTGGTGCATATGGTTGTAACTCATGGAAGCTTGGACCATGATTATTTTAAACTGCATTATGGGTGTTATGCAATTTTTCTTCATCACCAGTGGGCATTTCTTCATGCATGATGGAAGTCACCGCTGAAATCATTTCAATTTATTTATGCTTTTATCTAGATTAATAAGTTGTCAATGAAACGGCAGACCATAGATTGATCTGCAGACCCCATAGACCCTGTTTTGCTACGTTTCTATCCTACTTTTTTTTCCTTTCCAAATTTGTACCAGCAAGTTCCCGTTTATCTTATTTTAATCAATAATAAAGGGTGCATGCATGTTATCCATGAGATACCCACTCCGGTGCCCTCTAATTGTAGTAGAAAATAATATGAACCGTTGATCTCATTTGATCATAGGGTTCAGATCTATTTCTACTACCATCACACTTAATGGTAGTAGAATTGTGGAGGGATATTTTTGTCCAAAAAAAATATTTGCGGAGGGATACTTTTGTCTTTCCCGGGCTTTAGCCGCCGCCGCTCTGCGTGCTGCTCCTCCTGCTGGCCATCCATGGCGCCACCGCCACCCGCTCGCCGCCGTGATGACTCGCAAGAGGAAGCCTTCGTGGACTGGATTGCTGGAATGGGTTTCACGTAGAATTCCAACAAGATGGGTCTATTCACATTACATTAGCTTGGGTAAAGAGGAAGCAAAGCACAAATTTAATGGATCAGGCTCACGGAAGTTGAGCTACTTCTTTTCATAGCAAATTCAGATTCTTGATTCTGGTATAGCAATAGAGCATACTGTCCATCTCCAAATTAAATTCTTGATTCAGATTCAGAATCAGATTCTTGATTCTGGTGAAGTCATCCACGAAAATTAACATTACCGTGCCTGCTGATGCTGAGGCTACAGAAGCTCATGCTCTCCTGCACCAACCTCCTCAACAGCCGGCTCCACACACGCCTGTAGCCGTCGTCGCGGCTGCCGCCGCCGCCGGCGGTGTCGTGCGAGAGGAGGTGGAACCACGCAGGGCTCCTCTGCACCGCTGCCCCTGTGCGCACGTCGGAAGTCTTCAGGGTGGCACCAGAAGCTCCTGCGGCGGGGAAGCGGGTAGACGCCGGCAGAGAAGGGGAACTGAACAAGAGGGGGCGCCGGAGAGTATTGCCGCCGGCGGAAGGGAACGTGATGCACAAGCGCCGGCGGCAGAAGGAGTCGCTCTCTCCACCTCCGCTCAATTGCGATGGATGAGGAAGCGGTGGCAGCACAGCTTTTCCAGAAACATCCGAGCGATCCACGACAAAAATAAATTAAGTGCTAAATTTATCCCAAATCTACCTCAGTACTTTACTAATCTACCCTTAAAAATAAACGGTTCAGATTAGTTCTACTGGTAGTATCACCGGAGCATTGCTCTATCCATGAACTTTTAGACGAAATTAATATTTGTTGTTACCCCTCAACTACCCATAGTGCACTTATATTACATTCGCAAGCCCATAATTGTTACTGCTTCGCTGAGGTGCGTTCATGTTTCCTATGAGAGTAATGAATCTGTTTATTGCTTGATCAGATCAGTGCAAGAACTCTAGCTCCCCTATCTTCGAGCTTTGATTGATGTAATCTTGATCCATGTGGCACGCCGTTGTGTTGTACATATATGCTGCGATATGCATATATATAAGAACAAACTATATATCCTCAGAAACGTAACCTCGGACAAATAATGAACCTACAATCGTCGGCTCAAAACCAAATTAACAAGAAGGGGAGAATCGCACACACACGGAAGACACATACCCACAAAAATTAATCTGCTTGTTCCGCTGAACAGATCTACACTTGTGCAAGACAAAATTAATAATACCCGGGGAACTAATTTTAATTGGGGATTTGCTAACTGTCAATCTGTTAGCCTGAAGACAATCTTGTGCATTTGCAATAATTTGTTTGCTTTCAGTTAGTAATTTTGAAGTTTTAGGCATAGGATGCCGCATGCATATTCAAAAAGACCCTTTCTTTCTTTTTTTTTTCTTTCTGTGGATGTCTTATTATTAAACTTACTGACAGGGCTTTGCCAAGCAGTCATTCACAAAGTTACAACACTACAACAAAACTGATTTATATAGTTTGTAACCAATCTTAGTCATAGACAATACGTTGTAAAATCCCAATCATTCTATAAGTATGTAGAAGAATCTCATCCTTGGACAAACCTTTCTAAGAATGTTAGATACGCCATCACTTACTTCTAACTAGCATTCGTATTTTCTCAACAACCCTTGAGATATTTTTACAAGAGAAAAGTACGAATTACCCCCCTGAACAATTGTGACCGTATGAATTACCCCCTGAACCACAAAACCAGACATATTACACCCTCAACTATTCATACCGGACATATCACCCCCCTCAACACTGTTTTGACCGGTTTTGACTTCAACTTGTACACATGGCGCCAACGTGGTAATCCAGTCAAAAATAATAATAAATAACCCCTGGGGCCCACCTGTCATATCCCTTCGTCAACCCAATCCCCTCTCTCTCTCTCTCTCGCCATCTCGCCCACGCGCTCGGACGGCCGGCTTCGGAGGAGGCGCACACGCTCGGACGGCCGGAGGCGGAGGCGGAGCTCGCCCGGGAGTCCGTCTGCGGAGGCGGAGATCGCCCGCGTGGCTGGCGGCAGAGGCGGTGGTCCAACTCCATGCGCCGCGACTGCCAGATCCGCCACTCCATCGGCAGCAGGTTCGTTGAGAGCCTCTACATCTGCAGGAACGGCTGGAATGCCAGGGCTTCCGACGCCGTGCGATGCTGGGGTGACAAGGAGCACTTGTACGACAGAGACATCGGCAACTGCACTGCCGGCGTTGACTTCCACGAGTGCGGCCACTTCGCCTTCATGGTTAGGCCCAACTTCACTAGGATCGGCTGCGCCCGCGCGAGTGCTTCAACGACGGCATCTTCATCACCTACAACTACTACAAAGACGAGGAGCAGCCGGCTACACCTCCTACCTACTCCTAGTTGCACAATATGCTCTTCTTCTCTCTCATCAACACCTTACCTGCTGCCTGCCTGCCTGCCTCATGCACATACAGCTGACCGGACCACCGCCGACGCTGCCGCCTTCTCCGCCTGCCTCATGTACATACAGCTGACCGGACCACCGTCGCTGCACTTCAGGAAAGGGGAGGGAGTTGGAAGAAAAGGAAAGGGGAAAGGGGTGAGCAGCGCTCGCGGCCCTCCGTTGCAGCTCCATCTCGTGCATCGCCTTTGTGGACGCAGCCGCCGACACCCTCGCCACTTCGCCGCCCTTCGCTCCCGCCACGACGACCTCCGCCTCGAGTGCGACAACTTCCACCGTGACGCTGCGCTCCCGCCACGCCCGCCCCCGCCACGCCCGTCGCCCGCTCTCCGCCACGCCCACCGCCCGCTGCGCCCCCGCCGCACCCCCACCACGTCCGCCGCCCACCGCGCCCATCGCCGGCCACCTTGTCGCCGCTCCCAGCGACATCTGAGAGAGAGATTGAGAGGAAGGGAAAGGGGTAAGAGAGAGGTGGGTCCCACCATATTTTATTTGTTTTGGCTGACAAGTGGGCCCATATCTTTTTTTATTTGTTTTGCTGACTAGATTGCCATGTATGCATCCACGTGGGATCAAAACTGCCCTCGATCGACATAGGTGGGTAATTCATCTGGTTTATAAAGTTTAGGGTTAAAAATAACTAGTATTGAAGTTTAGAGGGCTAATTCGAACGACAGTGATTGTTTAGGGGGTAATACGTATTTTTTCCTTTTTATAATACCCAGGGGATGTGGTAAATTATTAGTTACTCCCTCCGTACTCGTAAAGGAAGTCGTTTAGGACAATGTTTAAGTCAAACCTTGGGAATGTAAATCATGAATAACTCTCAAGTTGTTGAGTTTGAAAATGTAAAACTTATATGAATAGATTTGTCTTGAAAAATACTTTCATAAAAGTATACATATATCATTTTTCAATAAATATTTTTATAGAAACAAGAAGTCAAAATTGTGTTTTGGAGACCGTGTCAATGTCCTAAACGACTTTTTTTATGAGTATGGAGGGAGTATGTATCACTACTACTAGGAAACTCTCTTAGGTGTCGGATTTTTCAACCAGCACCCAGTAGACGGTACTAATGACTTCGGTCACTTGTGTCGGTTGTTGAACCAGCACCTATAAGAAATATCAGTTTTTACCAAGAACAGATACCTATATAGAATTATAGGTGTCGATTGTAAACTAACATGACACGTGGCTGATCTTATAGGTGAAAGTTATTTAAAACAACCGGCGCTTATAAGTATCATATAGGTGTCGGTTGTTGAATAGCTTGAACATATGGCAAGTACTATAGGTGTCGGTTTGTAACAAGAAACCGGCACGTATATGTTGGCAAGAAAAAAAAATAGCAGGACCTACCAATTTCACATACAAATCACACAATAATAGAAACTACAATCACATTCACATTCATCAACTTATACAAATTCATAGCCACATTCATTCACATTCACACAAATTCATTGACATTCATAGCCACATCCAAATTTACAATATCAATTTCTCAACCCCATCCACATCCACATCCACACACACACACACACACACACATATATATATATATATATATAAATATATATATATATATGTGTATATATATATGTGTATATATATATATCAACACATAGAAATCTAAAAAAGTCCTAAATGCCTAAGTCTAAAAATTCCTAAGTCTAAAATAACTAAGTCAAAAATTACCACGTCCAAAATTCATGTCTACAAATTCCATAAAATTATCATAATGATTTTTGGTTTTATAATGAAGCTAAGTATATAATGTTTAGTGGCTTTGTTAGAAATGATTTTATAATGAAGCTAAGTATGAAAGCATTGGTAAAAAAAAAGAAAATAAGAAAACCTTTTATAACTGTAAGGCATGAATACAAATAGAAGGGTGATTTTGCTGAAGTTTGGGTCCTTCTTACACTCAGAATAGATTACTACAACTGGAAGACAGGTAGGACTACATAGGGAAAACATTTTTTCTCTATAAATGCGGTACTGTTTCATCTGCTTTGGTTTATCGGATGATTCGTTTTAGGAAACTGCATAATGCTTGCAGAATATTCAGTACTCAGTGCAAAACAATTATCTTTATATTAAAAGGTTCCTGGTCCAGGTTAGACGAATTACCCCCCTCGACCCAATCCAGAGCAGTTTAGGTCTATGTGGCGTATGCGTGGCAATCCAGTCAGCATTTTCTTTTTAAAAAATTGATGGGACCCACATGTCATACCTCCTCTTAACCACTTCCTAATCTCTCTCTTGGGCACAGGTGCGCACGGTGGCATGCGGTGGCGGGCAGCGCGTGGTGGCAGGCAGTGAGCAATGGCGATGGTGATGCTCCTCGCCGGTTTCTGCCAGTTCCCCTCCTCGTCGCGCTCAAAATCGCTCGGCGCCAGCCGGAGCCACGCAGCCGTGCTCGCCACCACTTGCCACCCAGCTCCGGCCTCCGCCTCCGCATCTCGCGTTGCCGCCCACGGCCCGCCCCCGCGCGCCACCATACGCGCCTTGCCGGCCGACCACCACCACTCGCTGCATCAAGGGGATGAAGGAGAGAGAGGGCGGGATAGGGATTGAGGAAGAGATAAAAGTAGAGAGAGATTGAGAGGTTAGAGAGGAATGAGAGAGGGAGGAGAGCCTTACATGTTGGGCCCACACAATTTTTTTAACAAAATTGATGACTGGAATACCATGTAAAACTAAAACCACTCCAGATTGAGCCGAGGGGGATATTTATCCGATTTGTATAGATAGGTAATTCGATCGACCTTGATAGTTCAGTGGAGCAATTCATACTTTTTCCATTTGTTAACCACAAAACAACATGAACATGTTTATGAGCCATAACCCTTATCCGTACTGCACCGATCTTATTTGTAGGAAACAGAGAAAATACAGTAATAATTGGACCATCAACCAGTAGTTCACTACAAATAATGCAAATTAGCAGTACATAGGTGTAATATACTCCCTCCGTCCCAAAATATAACAACTTTTAGCCATCAGAATTTGTCTCAAAATATAGCAAGTTATTCATCAATTAATATTCTCTTCCCAACCAATCACAACCCTCCACCATTTACCTTTTACACCTTCCTCCACTACTCATCCAATCACAGCCCTTCACCATTCACTTCTACCTACTTGTTAATAACCGTGTCCAACTCTAAAACTTCTTATATTTTGGGACGGAGAGAGTAATTGGGATTTGGGGCATCATATTTCTTTTCACCTCTGTCATGACTCATGGCCCACAAATGCCTGATGTCTAATGGATAGATGGGCTGAGTCCATCCGGCCCAACATCGTTTCCCCCATCCAATCGCGCCGCTGCATGTCGCCTCCTCGCGCACGCAGCCATGGCCTCCCTAGCACTGGACGATCATGAAGCAGCGGGGTGTACGGGGGTATTCGCACCGTGATCTAGCTATGGCCAATGCCATAGCATGCCACAAGGGAGGGTCCGCCCCTGATCTATGCCAAGTTGTCGACCATTAGTTTAGCGTTGTAAGGATCGAAAGTGAGTTTCCTACTGTGTATACTATCTTACTAGCAAATACAACCTCCGTTATCGCATTTTGTTTTTAAATATATAACGTTGTTGACATTAAAACTTTTGAAAGAAATAGTCAATATAATATTTAGTTCGGAAATAAACAACATAAATCATGATGACGTAAACATAAACCATGATGTCATTAACAATGCATAAACTGATTACCCTCAATAATAAGGCTTACACCATAGAAACAAGCATATCTAACTCCTATGTGCATAAAAAACGGAATCAGCAAAAAGGAATATAAGAGGAGAATAACATCAGGTGCCGCAATTGTAGTGAAAGGAGAACCGCTACAGTTGCCGTTCCCGCCATTAGAATCGTTGTTGTTCCCATTCCCGTTCTCACGAACCTGCCATGATGAGGAGGAAGTAGTCGATGTAGTCGTTCAAAGGCACCAGCAAGCAGTTGCATGATGCCCTTCCGAAAAATCTGATTCACCTTCTGTCGCTACAAAATCAGGGAGGCGGGGGTTCTGAAGGACTGTTCTCCCAGCACGTGTGCACACACTTGCTTGGATGGGAGGATCATAGCAATGATACTAGTTCGATTCAGAGATTCGTGTGTCTCTCTCATGGTGAGTAAGCATGATGAGTAACCAATCCTTTTTTAGGATTAGTCAAGAATACGAAGAGGAAAAGCCAGGAAGAGGAACACCAATGGACAATTTATTACTCGCATAACAACGATCAATTTACACTCCATGTTTACTCCAATTTGGGTAACAAGCAAAGACGAAGGGCAAGGGTCACTTAAGATTACGTCAACAATTAATAGTTGTGCAATGAAAACCTAGCTCGTCATTTATTCCAAAAACCAACCATCAATTGTAAGCAGTTCGATTACTCCAACAACAGCCATATAGACTAAACGGAAAAACTAGGCCTAGGCCGCCCAGCGCGTCGCGCGCGCATGTGACTTACCTCTTGTCTTTTTCCATCTTCACAATTGGTGTAAACCTTTTTTCACCAGTTCAATTGATTCATCTAGCTGTTAATTTCCCTTGTGGGACTACACACACATTTTTCTTTGTATTTAATGGGCCTTAGGATTTATTTAATTTAATTTAAATAGGCCAATTACCCAATTAAATCTAGCAAGAACATGATGTTTGTGCATTACTCTTATTACAAGAACTGTGTAACTATCATTTATTTCGTTGTGTCTTGTTTTTATCATCAAATGTAATGCATGACTTATATTTTTCATATTAACACTAATCTTTTAAGTCCAAATACCATTAGCATCATATATTTTTTAAAAAAGGAGAAAGTACTTTGTTGTTTTCGATTATATCGAAGACGTATACTCGCACACACTACTTTATATTGCATTTATCAAAGGGAGAGTACACACAAGGTACATAAAAGAAAGAGAAAAATCGCTTATATACCCCTAAATTTTGTTTAGTTTCTTGTATACCCCCCACACACACACACAAAAAAAAATTCATTTTGATCCCTTTCATGGCCCTCCCGTCAGTTGAATGCTAATTTCTACAAAAATAACCATTTTACTCTTCTTCGGATGAACATAGAAATTTATAAATTACATTATTGAAAATGTAAAAGTTTGTCGCGTGAGAATATTATAGTTATGGGTTTGTTGTGCTATATATTATTTATGATATAATTTATTTTTAGATAATGAAATAAAAAATATGAATTTATTTTATTATTTTTAAAAAGTCATAAAAAATAAGGAGCATTTATATAAAGATAGGACTAGCAATGCTCACGATATTTTTTTTATGAATGCTCTCGTTAAAAAAAATCCATTGTCTATTAAAATTTCAAATAAAAGTTTTAATGTATTGTATTTTTTTTATTTTCAAAATTTATGTCAAAATTTTCCGCACTAATTATTTAGTCTCATTGGTTTCATAAAATGCACATACTGTGCACTTAAGAAGGAACTAAAACTGTACCTAAAAAGTAAGAGTAAATTATGGGGTTTAATGGGATCTTACTAAATTGCCGACATGGTATTAGTGGCATAAAAAATGAAAAAGTAGAAATAAAATTTTGAAGGTATGTCAAATTAAATAATCAAAATTTCCCTACAATTAAGTCACACTGCTACATAAAATGCACAAAAGGGACAGCATTATATATACCGGAAATGCTAAAATCAGTATCTACAGACCTTTTACCACCTTCGCAGTCGCAGGCTCAAACAAATATACAACTCGCCCACTTGTGCTACTCTCTTTACTAGGAATGTTGAACAATTTGTTTTGGATGTTGCACGAGCTTTGTTTTAAATGTTACATGTATTTTAATATTTCACTGTCTTTACATGGATGTGGAACTAATTGTTTAGACAATTATATTTTACTCCTTATTTGAAGATGTTGCATCGAACAATAAGTGAAACACATGTTACATATCAACATCCTACTGATTTTAGTAAAGTCTCAACCTCTACCACAAATATTACATTGAGTATTTAAAGAATCATTTGACTGTCTACTAAAACAACTCGGACAATAGATATATACTGTACAAATCTTATTTAATTTTTCAAACAATTTGATAACTACGTGTTTAAAAAAGTGAAGGACATGTCCTGTTTTGGACAGACACATGTTGCAAGCAGAGCAAGTCTCCTTTCCACTCCTTTGGTCAGCCGCTGTTCTTCAGCTTCTTTATCGGGTTCAAGAAGTTCTTCCCCTCCAGCTTCTTGGCGAAGAAGAGCTTCAGAAGTTCGTCATGGTCCATGCTTGTATAAGCAGCATCGTCTTCATGCTCCACCATCTCGCTCAGAGGACCTACAATGGCGTTTTTGCTTGGAGAATGGAAGGTCGCCATCGACAGCCGCTCTTTCTTCCCATCCACAACAACCCGGTGCTCGACGCTCTTGTACCTCCCATTAGTGAAGACCTGTGCATGCAAACATGGACAGACCCCATGGACGACATAGAAAGGACGTCAGTTTCAGTTTCACGTTGGATCAAATCAGACAGTTAATTAGGATGATTTTGTTCATTATTTAAATCCTAATAGTATTGGTAGTGCAACTGCAATATGTAGTCTAGAAAATATTGTTATTCTGTTACCAAACTTATGACAAAAATTAGTATATAATGTGCTCTACTGGTATTAGTTCCATCAATCTAGATTATTTATATGTTCTATTCTAATAATAATATTTATTTATACAACCAACTCAATTATTGGTAGTAGAATTCATAAATCACCAGTTTGTTAATATTTCTACTGGTCATAATGCTAGTAGCAGAATACTATCACTAGAGAGCACCGTAAAGATACTCGTAGGATGGATTTTGAATTGCAATACTTTTATTCTACAACGCAATAAATATTAGATTCATATTTGCAACCAAAAGAAAAAAAATAGCCTTGTTCACATTGTTACCAAAATCAACCTTAGCAAATTTAGTAATGCCAAATTATGGCATATTTTGGCGTTATCAAATTTTGATAGCTTTGGTTATGTTTCGACCAACTTTTGATGGGGATTTTTAAGTGGAAACTTTCAGAATTACCAATATTTAGTTTACCTTACAAAAATTTAGTAGGGTTCACTATAAAAAACGATTTTTCTATACAATGACCCCTATAGATTGCAAGTAGGCTGTAACTAGTCAGTCTGTAAAAAACAAGCTCTATTTATGCATAGGGCTTATTAAAAGGTCCGCATGCAAAAAGCTATTTTCGTGGACAGACCACTTAGGTAGTGTTTGGTTGCAAGGATGAGATGGGATAGGATGGGATGAACCCATTTTAGGAGTGTTTGGTTGGAAGGTGAGTGGGATGGGATGATCCCTGGAGAGGAATATTCCTCTTTGATCCGCGATGAAACGGTCCGCCAAAATTGGCCGGACCAATCCATCCCACTTCGACGGAGAGAACGGCGTCCGCTCCCGTAGCCTCCCGCTCAGCTCCGCCACGGCGCCGCCACGGCCGCCCATCCCTCCTCCGCCTGCTCCCTCCCCCGGCACCGCTGAAAAATTAGTCTATTTTCTAATACCGTCCTCTTAAGGGGGGCGCATGCAAAAAACTATTTTTACAAACGGACCACTTAAGTGGTCCGCATACGAAAATACCATCCTCTTCTCCATAGATATTTTCTCCCCTGCTCTCTCTTTTCCCTCTCAACACTTCATTTTTTTCCACTTCACCTCTCCCTCTATCTCTTTCTCTCCTCTCACCCTCTCTCTCCTCTCCTCTCCTCTCCTCTCTTTATCACACCGAAAAGGAGTGGGCATGCTGGGTGGTGGGTGGCATGGCCGACGAAGAGGTGCTGGGAACGGGCGCTGCCGCCACTGCCTCGCGTGGCTCGGTGGGCGCGGACTCCAGCGGCGACAGCTGGCGAGGGCTACGGCGTGGGCGGGTGTGGGCAACGCGGCGACCCTCCCCTACCCCAATCTGGCGGCCTTCACCCTCCCCCACCCAGATCTGCTAGCCGCCTCCCTCCCCCGCCCCGAATAGCCGCTAGCCGCCTCCCTCCCCCGCCCCGAATAGCCGGCCGCTTCCCTCCCCTGCCCCTATTCAGTGGCCGCTTCCCTCCCCGCTGCGATCCGCCGCTGCCAATGAAGGGAGGAGGATGACGACGAGGGCGGCAGCAACGGGTGGAGGACGACGCCGATGATGGCGGTGGCTACTGGAGGATGAGGACGGCGGCGGCAGTAGTGTATTTGTTCAATTTTTAGAAATTTTATTTGTTTTTGTGATTATTCTTTTTCACATGCGGTCGGCTTAAGCCGCAAGCGGAAATCATGATTTTTGTAGACCTTTTCTTCCATGCGGCCCGCCCAACCGCTTGTGAAAATGCATTTTGAGCGTTTGCAAAAACCTATTTTGCAGTAATGGTTGAAATATATCTATCTATTATATTATTAAGACAGCTTTAAAAGGAGGCACCATGTTCATTGTGGGGGCTAGAAATTACCACGTTAATCAGAAAAAAAAGAAAAGGAGATTCCAAGTAGAAATACAATTTAAAAATTACTAAAACTCGGATTTAAAAATAAGCATTATTTAAAGAAGAGTACATATAAGAACTCGGTACGAGATTAATTAATATTCGGAAGAAAAAATAAAATAAAATCCAAAATTAACAAAAACAAAATAAAATAAGAGTTCAAGTAGAAATATAATTTAAAAATAACTAAAATTCTGGATGAAAATTAAGCAATATGGAAAGAAGAGTCGATATAAAAACCCAATATGAGTTTAACTAAAATTCGGAATAAAAAATAAAATAAAATTAGAAATTAGGAAAAATAAAAATAAAAGAAGAATTCACGTGGGAATACAATTTAAAATTAACTGAAATTCGAAATTAAAAATAAGCAATATTGAAAGAAAAGTCTATATAAGAACCCAATACGAAATAAATTAGAACTAGGAGTAAAAATAAAATAAAATACGAAATTAGACAAAATAAAAGGAGTTCAAATAGGAATACAATTTTGAAACAACTGAAATTTAAAATAAAAAATAAAAAAAATAAAAGAACACAATACGATATTAATTAAAATTCGAAATAAAAAATAAAATAAATTCTAAAATTAGAAAAAGAAAATTAAGATTTCAACTAGGAATACAATTTACAAATAACTAAAATTGGTAATAAAAAAATAAAGACTAGTGAAAGAAAAGACCATCTAAAACACATGATAATATTAGTTAAGTAACATGTATATAAAAGAGTAGAATGGTGGTGTTTGATGGGACATCTAAAAGCTATTAATAAAACATCAAATAGAATTCTAATAACTATTAAAATGAGGGACGACGGGCATGCCACGAAGCAACCGGTCAAGGTGGTTGGCAAGACTTCTAGAAAGTAAAAAAATAAACCCCATTGATAATCTTATTCGATTTTTAAAATCTCAATGACAACAAAAAAAAGGAGAGACAGTCGGCGGGTCATACATGACTATAGTTGCAAAGCCGCTGATGGATGGTGTGACATGTAAAAAAAGAATTCCAACGATAGTTATGTTTAATTTTTAGAATCCCAATGACAATAAAAAGTACACGGTGGATGGGTCGTAGAGGAGTATATGAAGCGTTTGACGGGACTTCTAGAAATTATAAAAAATGAAATCCAACGAGACAATAAACTCTAAAAACTACAGGTTGCAATTTTTAAAGGTTCGAGACTTTCATAAAGTAAAAAAAAATGATAGTCATATTCGATTTTAAAATCTCAATGATAAAAAAAAAAGAGGTAGCAGACCAGCCATAGATGAGTATAGTAGCAGAGCCGCTAACGTTTTGGCGTACTTCTAGAAAAGAAAGTATGATCCCAAACGATAATTATGTTTGATTTTTAAAATCTCATCGATAATAAAGAGAAGAGGCAGTGGACGAGCCGTAGTGGAGTATAATGGTAGTCTTTGACAGGACTTCTATAAATTATAAAAATGAAATCCAACGAGACAATAAACTCTAAAAACTATAAGATCCAATTTCTAAAGGTTTCAAAGAGAATGAATAGAAAACAGTGGTTGATCGAACAAGCAAATAAAGAAAGAGATGATAAAAGTAAGAGGTAGCAATTGGTGTAACTTTTAAAACTATAAAATTAGAAACATATGGATGATATAATTTGGTCTTTCGAAGTCTTAATACAACGAGATAGATATGTAATAAATTTTAAGTAAAATCATATATTAAAAAAATATATAATTTGTGTGGATGCTAGCCGCGTAATTGTGCGGGCCACCAGCTAGTTGAGAGTAAAGGGAACATGCCTTTTTTTATCTGCGAAAGGCATCTACTTCAATCTCATCATGCGTCTCCAAAAGTCCGTAATGTTAGGGCCTGCCTGACCAAAGAAAGTCATACCTGACGAATGTCTCCCACGTTGACGATGAGAGCGCCCTCCAGAGGCCTGACGGGAAGCCAAGCCCCGCCTCTCCTGATCTGCAGGCCATCCACCTCGTTCGCTTGGAGGAGAATGGTCACCAGATCAGCATCAGAGTGAGGAGAGATGCCGACTACTTTGTCCGCCTGACCGCACGGAGGGTAGTACTGCACCCTCACCGACTGGACTCCACCCACCCATCTCTCTGCGATCACCTCCGACTCCACTCCCAGGTTGGTCGCCATGGCAGCCAGAAGGCCATCCGCTGTGATCTTCACAGCCGCGCAGTATCTGTCCAGTGCCATTCTGAAGGATCAACGCCACACAGTATGCATACAGTTCAGTTTTGCAGGTAAACAAAAACAAGAAATGGCAAAATCGATCAGAGCATGAGACGAGACGTTTATGGTATTATGGGTATACTAGAAAAAAAAATGTCCGTACATTGCAACGGGTGAATACTATTTTTTTTAATCTTATTATTGTTATACGGTTTAGCTAGAATAAAATTCATTGTAATAATTCGCTTGGATTTTTTTTTTAGAAAATCATAAGCTGCAATTAGGAGTCCGACTTTTATCTCAAGTTAGCATGCAAGTTTTTTTTAAAGAAATTTCTTATATGATTTCTTTTGTATTTCTAAAAGCAAATAAACTTAAAATCCGACTCATGTACGGATCTGTATTTTCAAAAGCGAACGAACTTAAAAACTGACTTAAATACGGATGATGTACCAAATACCGATAAAAACATCTTTAATTTTTATAATAGTATAGAAGAGATAGAGATAGAGATATATACCTGAAGCCGGCAGGTTGGTCAGGCCAGAATCTGAGGTTCCTGTCCTGCAACGGCTGCGTTTTCACGTAGAGGATGTCAGCCCAGTCGAGCTTCTGATCTTCAGACACAACGAACAGCTGACCGTAGCCTTCCAGCTGCCCTGGCTCCTGAACGACCTGCTTCTTGGTCTCCGCAGGCAGCTCGAAGAATCCCTTGATGCTGGCCTTCATCCCCTCCACCACATCCTCTGGAACATTGTGGTTTACCAGCTGCAGCAAGCAAACAAAATTAACCATATCTAATTAGTCAATGTGGGAGAATAAAGCTGCGCATGCTAATGCTGGTAGTATCAAATTAACCTAGAAGAAATTCTTTTGCAAAAAATACATCGTTTAGCAGTTTGAAAAGCGTGCGCGTAAAAACCGAGAGAGGTGAGTCAGGGAAAAACTGGGGAAAGAACACAGGATGAAGTCAATGTGTAGAATGAAGCTGCATGCTAATGGTAGTAGTATCAAATTAACCTGGAAGAAGCCCCAGTCCTGGCAGGCAATGTGGAGGCGAGCCAGCTCGTCGCCGTCGCCGAGCTGCAGCCTCCAGAAGTCGACGACGGGGATCTCCGCCTCGCCGCCGTCAGAAGCGACCGGCTCGTCGGCGTCCGTGGGGCGGAGGTATCTGGGTGGAACATGGTCGATGCCGATGGCCGCCACCATGGCCTGCACGCTTGGCACCGGGAGAGACGCCATGGCCTCTGTTCTCTTTCCTTCACTGTCAGATGCGGACGGTTTCGATTACGTGTGGATATGGTAATGAAGTCCATATTTATGGTGTCCGTACAATATTAGTTCGGAAAACTATTGAGGAAATATTTTTGATCACTTGTTCACTGAAACACCTGAAAATTCTTTAATTACAAGATTTATGTGTGCTCCAAAATTAATTGGTCAGCTTTAGACAGCAACAGCACAAAGCTATTGTAATAAGTAGTAACTAGCATGGTGGTGGCCCACGCAGATTGCGCGGCTAGTATCGTTATATTTTCTCTCTTATAATAGCATATATGTTTTCTCATTATATTATTTAAATATATTAAAATAACATCATAATTTTAAATTTTGCAATAACTTTACGAAACTACAAATGTGTAATATTCATATTATATTTTATATACGTGTTAGTTATTAATTATTTTTAATATCAAATTTTAGTTATTTGTAAATTATATATATTCCTATATGAACTCTAGACTCGTCTTTTAATATTTTTTTTAATTTCGAATTTTCTGTAAATTGTATTTCTATATAGACTCTAGGCTCTTCTTCCAATATTATTTATTTTTATTTCTGAATTTTTATTATTTCTAATTGTATTTATATGTGGACTCTAAACTCATCTTTCAATATTTTTTAATTTTTAATTTTTAATTTCATTTACTTCTAAATTGTATTCCTATATTGACTTTAAACTCTTCTTCCCATGTTTTTCTTAATTTCGAATTTTAGTTATTTGTAAATTGTATTTTTATACGGACTCAAAACTCTACTTTTAATTTTATTATGTTTATTCCGAATTTTAGTTAGTTTTAAATTCCTATATGGACTCTATACTTTACTTCTAATACTCCTTATTTTTTAATTCCAAATTTCTATTTTTTTTAATTGTATTTCTATATGGACTCTATACTCTACTTCTAATATTCCTTATTTTAAATTTCGAATTTCAGTTATTTCCTAATTGTATTTCTATATGGACTCTATTCTCCTCTTCTAATATTTTTTATTTTTTAATTCCGAATTTCAATTATTTCTAAATTGTATTTCTATATGTTGTTTTTTAATTCCAAATTTCAGCTATTTCTAAATTGTATTTCTATATGGACTCTGCCTTTTCTTTTTCTCCGATTAATGTGAGAATTTCTAGGCCATGAGAGCGAACGTGGAGGCTCTTTTTCTATTCTTTTAATTATATAATAGATGTCGGTGATCATGTTTATACAAATGTAGCTGTGCTTCCATAGAAATTTTTATGAGGTTCATACTCCCTCCGTTTCTAAATATTTGACGCTATTAACTTTTTTAAAATATATTTGACCGTTCGAATTCATTGTTAAATATACTTATATGTATATGTATAGTTTTACATATTTCACAAAAGTTTTTGAATAAGACGAACGGTCAAACATGTGCTAAAAAGTTAACGGTGTCAAATATTTAAAAATGGAGGGAGTATATTTATCCCTGACAAATATTTTGAGCGTGTGCCACCACTCATACACAGAAGATTTTCCCGTGCGGTCGAACGGATTTTCGCGTGCGGAGCTTCAGCCCGTCTGGAGCAGTTCGTCTGCGAAAAGCGCTATTTGTGCGTGCGGGCGGCGCAACCACACACGAAAATCTGATTTTCGCATGCGGGTGCTTATGTCGCCCGCACGCAAAAATAAAAAATCGAAAAAAAAATTGAAAAAACAAAACCCTAACCCTAGCCGTCGCCGCCTTCCCGTCATCGTCGCCGTCGCCATGGCCAGATCCGCCGCCTTCTGGTCGTCGTCGCAGTCGCCGTGGCCAGATCTGCTGCCTTCCCGTCGTCGTCGCCGTCGTCTTCCCATAGTCGCCGTCGCCTTTCCGTCGTCGTCACCGCCTTCCTGTCGTCGTCGCCATCGTCGGAGGGCCGCCGCTAGATCCGCACGGGGGGTGGCCGTCGCCGCCGGATCCACGCGGGGGGCGGCGGCCGCCGCCGTCGCACCGCTGGATCCGCGCGGGGGGTGGCCGCCGCCGCCGGATCCACGCGGGGGGCCACTGCCATCGCCTACGCCCGCCACACGCCATTGTCGCCTTCACCGCGGGCAGCCACCGTCGCCGTCGCCGCGGGTCGCCGCTATTGCCTACACCCGCCGCCGTCGCCGTCGTCGTCGTCTTCGCCGTGGGCAGCCATCGTCGCCGTCGCCGTCGCCGCGGGCCGCCACCCTCGCCTACATTCGCCGCGCGCCGTTGTCTCTGTCGCCGCGGGAGGAGAGGAGAGAGGAGAGAGGAGTGAGGAGAGTATATGAGGGGCGCACATGAGGAGAGAATAGGAGAGAGAGCACTGAGCGAATAAAAGAGAGGGATGGGACCGAGGCGTGGAAAAAGGAAAATTTTGAAGTGGGTAGGAGAGAAAGGAGGGATGATTATTTCTGTGTGCGGCTCTCTTGATAGGCCCGCACGGAAAAATCGGTTAATTTTTCTGTGCGGTTCATTTAGGAGGACCGCACGGTGGGCAATAGCCCGATGCCCGGTCCCCTATTTTTCCGTGCGGTTCCACTTACGAACCGCATGGAAACAAAAGAGGACGGCGTCGAGAAAAATCAATCCTCTAGTAATGCACGGTGTGTGCGTGTGTTGTACATGAGCCATGAATTTAAAGAAAATATGTCTTTTCTCAGGCATTTATTTTTTTCGTTTATTTCATATTTGAACTGTTTCAAATGGAATTCTAAAAAATTTGGAACATTATGATCTTCAAACTAGTTATCTTCTTCATTCTGAAAAAAAAAAGAAAGAACACATAGGATATGTATTTTTTTTAATTCACCTGCAAAATCCTACGGTATTTATGTGTTCCAAGCTAATCATATATTGACCGTGAGTTAAGTTAGTTTTTTTTTTTTTACAAAGTGGCATATTGCCCTAGCTCATGAGAATATGTGCAATGGAGATGGATATCAGGGACGACGAAGAAGCCTGGAAAGGACAGAAAACACTGAAGCTCACAGAGGAAGAAGGATGAAGAGGGAGGGGAGGGGAGGGGAGGGGAGAGTGACAAGCTGGACTCATCCAAAAGTTCTGGTTGGACAACCATATCAGTATTTGTGTGAGTGAAACCACCAATTTCACTAAAATTTGGGAAGAAAAATACAGTAAAATGTTACAACGACATTACAATGTCTTGGCGGCCAGGAAGATCTCCGGCCAGCCAAGAACGAAAAAGGAAGGCAGGGCAAAACCCCGCAGACAGACATGGCGATTACTCGTGAAATTGGAAGAAAATCCCAGCCACCCTCCAAATAGCAATTTCCTGTTTTATATCCTCCGCAAGTTGTTCCGGTGACTTGGACACGTGTTGAAAAACTCTTGCGTTAAGCTCCTTCCAAATCAACCAACAAATTAGCATGAATGCACTGTCAAAATCCGTCCTGTAGCTCGTTCGAAAACGACGTCTTGTTGCCAGCCACCAGTCAGACAGGGTGTTCTCCTCATCTGCCGGGATTGCGAAGCTAGCACTGCACCATCTCCTGATAATTCTCCACACCGCCACCATGTAATCGCAGCCAACGAACAGGTGATGGCAGTCCTCGTCTTGTCGCTGATAGAGCGGGCAAAGATCGTCATGTGGCCAGTTCCGCTTGGCAAGGTTGTCAGCAGTGAGGCACTGATTCTTTAGCGTGATCCACGTGAAGAAGCGGACGCGCGAGGGGGCCCTGGAGCGCCATAGCAGCTCGCTGTAGGGACAATTCTCTGTTGCCATGAAGAACATGTCGTAGGCCAACGCCACCGAGAACTGCCCGTCATTCGTCAGTTTCCACCTGATCTCATCCGCCGAGGGGAGCAGCGGCACATCATGAATTTCATCCCATAGTTGGAAAAACTCGCCCATCCTCATTGGAGAACGCCCCTTGTAACCCGCGGACCCATCGATTGTTGCATAGGGCTTTAGCGACCGAAAGCCTAGTGTGCCCCTCATAAGAGTGCAGGATCGGCCACCGCCAAGCAAAGCATCCCTTCCCGGTCCAGTTTGTTGTCCAGGAGTCAGTGTTCTCACCATTACCGATGAAGTACTCTGCCACCAAGCGAAAGATGATCTCCACATCATTCCCAGTCCTGAAAGTTGCCATCGTCTAGGGCCTATCCTTCTGTTCCAGTCATTTAGCATGCCACTTCAACCTTAGGGCCTGACCAAAGAAATTCAGGTCCTTCACACCGAGACCGCCTTTCTCCACTGGAGAGCACACCTTCCGCCATGAGACCAGACAATGTCCGCCACTCACCTCTTCCTGCCCCTTCCATAGATATCCACGGCATTTTTGCTCTATGTCTTTGATTGCCCATCTCGGCAATTGCAGGACCGACATGTAGTGAATAGGTAGGGCCATGAGCACTGATTTGATCAAACAAAGTCTGCCGTCGACGGATAACATCTTTGGTTGCAGCCAGCAACTTTCTTTGCTAATTTGTCAAGGATCGGCTATACTTCAGTTTTTGTTGGTTTCCTTGTTTCTAGCGGGAGGCCTAGGCCTAGTCGACAAGAAAGGATAGACTCAACCATCGCCCGTTGCTGATCGCTGCACGGTATCGGTGTGATCGCGCTCTTGCAGAAATTCGTTTTGAGGCCCGTTGCCTCACCAAACAGAGTCAGCGGTCCTTAAATCGTGCTGGCTTCGCTGGCCGTTGGCCTGAAGAACAGGACCGCATCGTCAGCGTACACCGAGATGGGGGGCAATTGCCTTCTTGCGTTCAGTGGTGACAACCCTGCCTGCTTCGCTCGATTCACCATGGCTTGCAGGGATCCATTACTAACACGAAGAGCAAAGGCGATAAAGGATCACCCTGCCTCAGTCCCCTTGCTGGCTTAATTGGGTCAGAGAGTGCCCCATTTATTAAAATGCTTGCTTCTTCAATAAGGATAACTGCCGAGATTCATCGTCTCCAATTCAGGCCAAATCCCCTGAACTCCAACATGGACAATAGAAAACCCCACAAGACACATCCTATTTTAGATTGATAGTGTAATACTCCCAGCTCATTTCACTACTACAAATACATA